ACACACACACACACACACACACACACAGGCACACACACACATACACAAACTATCAATCTTTGTTTGATAGCAACTAATTAAAAACATTTGGGGCCAGCTACTGGTATGGTGGTTAAGGGAACTAGATTCTACATTGTCGACTGTGTGGTTCAAGTCCTGGACCCGGTGGCTTGAAAAACGTGCTGGGCATGTGTACGTGTATGTGTGCCCCAAATCTCTCTCTCTCTGTCTCTCTCTCTCTCTCCCATGAGCACATGTACCTGATAGCAAAATGGAAAGTGAGATTTAAACTCGAAGTGCTGGGACAATAGGTGGGTGAAGATCACCCAGCTCATGGCCCCCTTTGAGACGCAGCTGAGTTGGGCAGGGCTGGAGGGCTGCTCGTGTCCCGGCGGGTACTGGTGGAACACGGGAGTGGAGTCAACCCCCAGCCGCCGAGGAATCCTAAATGACGGGAGGTCTGGCTGCATGGCAGACACCACGGGCTGTTTGCAACTGTGCTGAGGACCCTCACTGTAGACGTGGGGACACATCCAGGAGGGCTGTCCAGGGAACAGAGGTGGCTTCTAGGTCAGCCCGTGTCCTGAAGGCAGTTGTGGAAAGATGTCACCCAAGGTCACAGTGAGAGTGTTTGAGGGCAGAGTTTTGACGTGACCTTTCGGCTTTATGCCACTTATGGCATCTCCCCTCTTACTACTGTGCGGTGGGGAAGCGGCTTCTGTTTGGGGGATACAAGGAAGTCATAGGGCAGCGGGGCAGCGCTTAGCCGATGGAGCAGGCGGTTGCGAAGGGGCGAGCTCCCTGTGGCTGGAGGGCTGCAAGCCGAAGATGTTGACTAGAACGCTCTGTGGGGGTGTTTCTGCTCTTTGTGGGTCTCAAAGCCTTTCTTTTCCCACCTTCCAGCTTTCCAGACCGTGGTGAGAAATGGTCAGAAACCTGGTCAGTAATCCCATCCATGTCCTGCCCAGGCTCAGGCCCTCTGCTTGTTTTCCCCATGTCCACCCTTGGCTTGCATGGCTCCCGGGAGCGGGCACTTACCACCCCTCCCTCACTGCAGGGCTCCAGTTGTCAGAATTCCTTCTTTTATTGCTATAGGGCATTTGTGCTCACCAGGAAGAGAGAGAGGCCTATAAGCCCCGTACTTTCTATGGAGCCAGTCCCAGAAATGCCTTCTTCCTTTTTTATTTTTTATTTTTTTAAGAGAGAGATTTTTTGCTATAGGGTGCATGTGCTTGCTGGAGAGACAGAGAGACAGAAAGAGAGAAATCATCCCCCAGGGAGGATGGCCATGCTACAATCCCTTCTCCTCCATTCTCCTCTTGGGATCTTGGACACGCACGCACATGTGCTGGCCTGAGTTTTAAGCCACCAGGTCCAGGACTCGAACCATGGTCCACTATGTGGGAGTCCAGCGATGTAACCATTACGCCATCTGCTGGTCCCCAGAAATTCCTTCTTTCTATCATCAGCAGTGGGGCTATGGCCTGGAGCACCCTCCCAGAGCTGATTCCATAGCTATTGGGGACGCCTGTCATTTTGATTCTCACCCTGCAGGATCCAGATCCGGAATGTCGTTGTCCCCCACCTCCACCTGAATTTCGTTGCTGATCTTGGGATACACATGTCGGCAACGGCCAACTTCACTTTCCAGATCTTTAGGTGAGTGACTCTCCTTGTGGAGAGGAGGGAGCAGTTTCAGGGATGTCGAGAGGGGCAGAGTGAGGGAAGTGGTGTTAGCAACTCCTCCAGGCTGCCCTCCAGACCTCCCCACTTTCTGGACAGTGCCCTCTCTCTTACCTTAAGGAAGAGTGAGTTTCTGAGAACTCAGACCCTGCTCAGTAGCTGTGCAACAGGGCAGTGTCACCTCACTTCTCCAGGCCTGTTTTCTCATCTGTAAAATGGGATACAGCTTTGCAGGGTGACTGGGCAGCAGCGAGTGGGTTCACTGCATAGTTGGAGTTTCCTCTCTTTCACGGCACAGGGTGCGGCCAGGACAGGTGTCGCTGTCAGTACTTCTGTGCAGCAGGCACACTGCACGCTATGACATCTGATTTCCAAACTGCAAGCTGGCCACGCAGAGGGGTTTCTTACTTTAACTCCCTTGCCCGGTATTGGCTTCCCGTGTGCTTCCCGTGGCCCTGTGAAAGAGGGACCGACCGTATGTCCATTTCACAGAAGAGGAAACTGAGGCTCATCACAGAGAACAACTGGCCAGGGCCTCACAGTGAGAGGGCCCATGGAGCCAGAGTTCACACCCAGCTGCCACGAACCCTAGGGCCCCGGATGGAACCTGGGGGGACTCTGGGACTGCCTCAGCTAGGGCCATCTCATGCAGTGGGGAGCCTGCCTGTGTCAAGTACAGGGCAGGCCTGGGCTGGGGGGACTCTCAGCAGCCATGGTGGCTCTGCTGGGGGGTGTCACTGACACAAAACTGGCCTCCCTGCAGGGCCTCCGAGCCCTTGGAGCTGATGCTGCCCGTGGTACTGCTGGCCGACGCCCGCGTGGCCCAGGGCTCCATCGGGACCCCCGTGGTCAGTATCTCCGCCTGCTTCTCACGCTTCGGCCATGCCAGTGTTTTTGATGGCAGTAACAGGTGGGTGCCTGGTGAGGGCTGGGTCACGGGCATCCGAGTATTAAGGTTGAGTGCATCTCCTGAGCTTCCCACTCAGAACTCCAGTGCCACAACGGACCAAAGAGACCCCCACTGTCATGATTGTGTTCTTTTTATTAAAAAAAAAGAATTATTTAATTTAATTTTATTTTTTATTATTATTATTTTAATTTGATCAGAGAGAGACATTCAGAGAGAAAGCCACCCAGTCCAGGACTCAAATAACAGTTGGCCACATGGGAATCCAGCACCTTAACCACCATGCTACCTGCTGGCCCCCAGGCCTTTGTTCTTACATTTTATTTTTATTTATTTCTTCTATGAAAGGGAGAGAGAGTGCCCTCAGCAGATCCTCGTGCTGCGATCCAGCCCGGCCTCAGCCAGCCAGGATGAGGGGTGCACGGGCACGCCGCTGGTGTTGTAGGGAGCCCTCAGGGTGCGAGCCATGTGGTCTCGGCATCGCCGAGTGCTGCATGACTGCTGTGCCACTGCAGCGGGTCCCCAGGCCTGTGTTATGGGTGGGGATGCTCAGGCTCTGCGAGGGAGAGGGACTTGCCTGAGGTCACACAGCAAGCGAGCAGCCAGAGCCTGCATCCTTGTCATCACACCCTCAGTGTGGATATCAGCCACAAACACGTGCCTTGGGGAGGGATTCTGGCTAGTTCGGAACCTTGGAGGGCCACCTTCCCTACAGAGATGGAGGGTCTGCAGCCCAGGGAGGGGCGGACACCGGCCAAGTTCTCCAAGAGGGTCAGGCGGCCGCTCACGTTTGCATCTGAGCTTAGGGTAGCTTCCCCAGGCCTCAGAGCACCTGCTGAGTGCTGGGCACCCTAGGCCTCAGAGCACCTGCTGACTGCTGGGCACCATTCCAGGCCTTGGTGTAGATCTTCTCGTTTGATCCTCACAGTAGTCCTCCCAGAGAGCTGAGAGCAATCCTTGCAGTTCACAGAAGAATAAGTGAGGCACAGGCACAGAGCAGTGGAGTGACTTGCCTAAAGTCCCACAGCTGGTAAATGGTGGCACTAGTTTTTTTTGTTTTTTAAGGTTTTTGCCATAGGGCAGGTGCACTCACTGGAGAAAGACAGTGAGAAGGAAAGTGAGAAATAGCTCCCCAGGGGGATGGCCACTCCACAATCTCTTCTCCTAATTTCTCTTCTTGGGATTTTGGGCCTGCATGCACACACACCCAGTGTGATTTTCAAGCTTCCGGGTCTGGAACTTGAACCACGGTTGGCCATGTGGGAATTCAGCCCCTTAACCACCATGCCACCTGCGGCTGGCCCAGGTGGCGCTGTGTTCAAATCCAGGCAGCCTGACTAATCCCATTGCTAATGAACCCCACTTTTGCGGGGGCTTGCTTTCAGGGGAGCGAGCACTGTGGAGGCTGATGGGAGTGCAATGTTAGCACGAAGTTGAACTTCTCCTGCGGGCCAGGGTTTGCCCCAGGTCCATTCACACACGTGACCTGTCTAGCTCGTGGCTCCTCTTAGTCCTCAGGGCAGGGCTGCTCCCCAGTTCATCGAGGGGGAAGTGGACAACCAGAGATCGATGGCTTCAGGCCAGCTGCCAGGGCAGTGCTACAGCTCCCCAAGGTCCCAAGGGAAGGTCTGGCCTCTCTCTCTCTCACGAAAAAGAAAGGAAGGAAGGAAAGGAAAAAGAAAAAATATCCTCCCGGATGCCATTCTCCTACCATCCGCTGGGGGGGGAACTGGAAGTTAGGGCTGCAACTGGGATCCGCATTTTAGCAAATGAAGGAACTGTAGATTCCTGTGGGGCATTGCTGGGAGACACTGACCCAGACCCATTGCTCGTTGTCCAGAGAGGAAACTGAGGCCCAGGGCTAGGGAGAGACTTTGGTAGGCATGTTACAGAGGATTGGGGCGAAAGCAGAAGTAGACCCGGCTCCTCCCTTCCTAACCCCCTCCCTCACTGGGCAGAGTGTCCATGAAGCCAGCTGGCCAAGGACATGCCAAGTCTGGCTTCTGCAGGGCGCTCTCTGTACCCCAGCCTGGCCTCAGCTGTCTCATTCTTGGTCACTGCCAGCCCTTGGACGAGTGACCCTCTTTTTCGAGACTCAGGCTCCTCTTCCATGAAGACCGTTATGCTGGCACCAGGTCTGGCATGGAGCAGGGTATTGAACGGGGTCTCTGGCCTCCCGGCGATGGCTGAGACTTCTCTGGCAGGCTGGTGGCTTCGCTGAGAGGCAGGCCGCTGGCACTCAGGAAGCCTTTCTGTCCCGTCCTCAGCACTGCTGCCCCTGCGCTGCTGGTCCCAGTGCAGAAGCACATCAAGGCTGTCTTGAGGAACAAGGTAAAGGGCTCATGGGCAGAGTTCTCGGAGCGAGGGCTCTGCTTCTCCCAAGGTTGTGGCAAATGAATGGGAGTGGGGATTTTGGCAGGGCACGGGGAGCTTGGGGCTTTTCATTTTTCATATAAGACCCTTCACAGGGCATCTCCAGTTGCCCCGCGAGGGCAAGGAGAGGCTGGCATGATGCTCCAGGGGTGTGATGAGGAGACTAAAGGAGGGTTTTGTCAGTGGAGCTGTCGGGGGAGGGAAGTTCATCCTATGGGGCAGCCCCAACACCACACTAGAGGGCAATGTTTTCAGGTTTGGGAAAAGAAGACAGCATGAGAGTGCACAGGGCAGGGCCCCTGGAGCCAGACGTGACCTGGGTTCAAGTCCTGGTTCCTCCTTTCCAGCTGTGTACAGTGGATAAGTCACTCGGCCTCTCTCTGCCCCGATTCCACATCCATAATGCAAAGAGAATAAGCCTCCCTCCTCCGGCCCTCCCTGGGATTGCTGCAGAGAGTAAGCGCTAACACTGGGAAGGTTAGAACAGAGAACAGTGCAGGGCAGAGCGAGTGCTGCTAGCAGTGTTGCTGTTTTAGCTCTCACATTATCTCCACGTGGCAGACCCGGTGAGGGGTGGCGCCCCAGGGACCAGGGTCCCAATGCCCACAGGAGCCGCTTTTCATGCCTGCCCTCCCTCCCACTCCTACCTCCCTTTAAAGGGCGTAGTGAGGTCAAATCAACTCGCATCCCACATAGTGGGCCATGGCATCCCCATCTTGCCTATGAGAAAACGGAGGCTCAAGCATAAGGGTGGTGGGGCTTGTCCTGAGAGTCCTGCAGGCGGCCCAGGCAGTGCCTCAGCCTTACCTGTTGGTCCAGCCGACAGGTCCTTCCTTTCTCCCCCACACTCAGCCTCTCCTGGGCAAGAGGCTGCAGGCAGTGCTGCAGGAAGGGAATACCTCTTGGCTTCTCTTGGCCCAGCCTCACCAGCTGCCACCTGGACCGGCTGCGAGTGCCCGCTGGCCTGCAGAATCTCCTCTGTTCCCATCTCCCATCACACTGACCAAGCTTAATGCATTTCTCCGACTGCCTGGGAAAAACTCCCATCCCCTGTCCTGGTAGTCCAAGTCCCGACTGATCTAGCTGGTGACCTCTGGCTGCACTGGCCATGGGCACCAGACTCTCGCCAGC